TGTGCCCAAGACAGCCTCCAACCATCACATTGCTCACAAGAGCTTCTCTGTTTGCAAACAGCAGGTCTAGCAGGGAACCTTCCTTTGTTGGCTCCTTCACCAGCTGTGTCAGGAAGTTATCTTCCACATACTCCAGGAACCTCCAGGAGTGTTCCCTCTCTGCTGTGTTCTATTTCCAGCAGATATCCGGGAAGTTGAAGTCCCCCACGAGTAGGACTAACTAGTAGGACAGGACTGTGTATGTGTTTTAGAGCTACCCATATTTGTGAAGGATAGGATTATGGTCCTAATCAGTTTCTCTTGCTTTGTGTTGTGATTTATTAAATAGAAACAGAAAAGAAAAAAGCAGTTTTAGAAAAGAAAAAGATAAGTCAGTTAGAAAGGAAGGTTAAAAAAGGCAGAGGAGGCAACTGATACAGATATTAGCCCTTTTTTAAGCCTTTTATTGCATGTTTTACAAATTGATTGGATAAGCAAAGGAATAAATTATACAATAAGCAAATGTTTCAACAGACTGGATTACATTATCAGAAGAAAAAGGTATTACTAAGGGATATAAGTAAGTATTTTGATAAAAGTTCACTTCAAAGAGAAAGAAAATGTTGCCAAGTTCTAGTATGAAAAATATAATCCTTTCATCCTGAAAGTTATTAAATAATTCTTAAGCTTTGTAGCCAATGCAATAACTTACTGTACTTAATGAAAACAACCTTCAGTTAGTTTGATAATGAACTTAAATGTTCCATCAATTCATCAGTTACTTGTAACTCTAGAAACTGTATTTAAGAAGTCCCTTTAGTCATATCTCCTATTTTATTTGATACATTGTATAAGTTATGTACAGCAAAGGTCTCCCCTACACGAGGCAGAAGTTATTATCTGATACTGAAGATCTTCATTCTTGTTTTAAAAATGTATGTTCTGCATTTTAAAGATGTTGAGGAGGAGATAGAGGAAGGCTTCAGAAAATGCATGTTACAGCAGTCTTAAGTAGCTGCTAGGGTTGCTATTGGAAGAGCAAACAGGAATACACCTTAAGAAGGTGTAATATTTTATTATTCAATTTAACTCTCAAATATAGGACTTTATTGTCACGAGGAGGGTTACTGATGTACAGATTCTGTATCTGTACATCAGTTTCTTAACATAAGAAAACCAGCTTTTCTCATCTGCAAGATTACCTGTAAAAAGCTGGTAGTCATGCTGGAATAATGTTAGTCATGCATGTCTTGTGAAAGACAGGGCCATGAAAGGTTATTAACTCATTTTATGCTCCTGGATTTTCTCAAGTGGTGATGACTGTCTGGTGGGAGAAGATAACCTGGCCATGAAATTGGTTTATACACTTTGGCTACTGCTTGCCTGACTTGCAAATGAGGAGGATACTTCTGAAGTGTTGCCATGTTGTGGACAGCAATTAGCAAATGAAGTTCAGCTTAGTATATCTGCAATCCGTGGCAGGCAGTAGCAGTTTTTTTTTAGGAGTACAAATGAGCAATGACACCTTCAGAAAAAATGAGTACTTCTACTTTTTGATGTCCATTTAAACAAGGACATTAAAGTCACTGAAGAAAGTCAAGGTTTTATTGAAAATCTAAGGATTATTTTTTAAATTTTGCCTTGAAAGTCACTTAAATAATCAATGGAAGTTGAAGAAAAAATTCACTGATGCTTGTGAGTTGTGCAGAAAAGACTTGCATGGTTTGCATATTTTCCCATGGAAATGGTGCAGTTATGCGAGAGAGGTTGTCCTGGGTTTAGTTTCTGTTGTGTGCTATTAATGTAAATTTGGAGTGATAAATGGTTTAGAAAAGTTTCTGAAAATTGGTAATGCACATATGTTTTTGCATAACTGAAAACAGACAAAAATATTCTTAGGAAAGAGATAATTGACTTCAAAGCTTTTAAAGGAAAAACATCAACTGTCTTGACTGGAAATTATATCTTGTCCCTTAGAACTTGATGATGTGAATTGTTGCTGGTTTTTACATCTCTATATAATAGTTTGACTGTGTTGCTAATAATCTTTTATTTTTATGTGAGAAAATATTTTAAATAAAAGCAGATCCTCACAATATTGTGTAGGAGTCGTAATTCTGAAACCTCACCTTTTTACTTTAAAACACAACAAATCATCAAGTCTTTACTACTACTAGCTATCACTGAAAAATAGATCCTAAGTTTAATTAGCATGGCTTTTTTATTTGTTATTAAAATGAGATTTCTATTTTGCCCTATATCAGGACATCAAAGGTAATCAAACACATTGGAGTGAAATTTTGTAAATTTCTTAAGGCTTTTGAATATAAATGTGTAATGATGATTCTGGTTTGGTTTTTTTTCTCCTAGTCATGAGCTGACAAGTCACTAAGGTAGTTAATAGCTGTGATTCTTAATGCTCCTTTTAAACAGTATACTAGAGCTTGGTAAATGAAACTATCAGCTATTATTATGAATGCTATTTCTTCTAGAAGTTGTTTCTGGAAGCATTTAGTGCATTACCATTTGTTAGCAATATGGAGAGTTTGGTTTAAAAAGAAATTTGACGAGGTAGGCCTGTGCAGTACTATTCATGGCACTTGAGAATTTGAAATGGCTATTGAAAATAAAAGTGGCTGAAATAGCTGTTACCTGAACAGACTTGTAAGAAGAGAGATTTAGAAAGACACAGGTTTTTAAAACTTGGAAAAAAATAAATTAAGAAATGCTATGAGGAAGGTATGTAAATAGTTGACTTTAAGACTATACTTAATAAAATGTTGTCTTAATGTATCTGTAAATATTTTAAATGCCTAACCTTCCTGAAATGTAACAAAGGAGAGTTAAAAGGAAATATATACCTGGTATGTTGTGTTTCTTTGGTCATTTGTGTAGTTTAATCTGTTAAATCTTTTTGTAGCTAGTAAATAATCCACCTTTTCTGATATACAATGTATAGAGGTAGGACACTTTTGTTAGGACTTGAATGTACCAGGTGAACTTATAATAAACAAAATGTATAAGACCACAGTCAAACTTGTACCTTGGTCAAGTATACTAGCTCCCAGTAGAATATATAATAAAATGTAAGACCTCCTCTTAAAGCATTAGTGATCTGTAAAAGGAATGCTTGAAAGAGTCTTTTCCACCCCTTTGCCATCTGTGCCTTTTTCAGTTTATTTCTTTTATTAATTTTTAATTGACCTGTAGGTTGCAGGCAAAGGAAAACAGAAAACAACATATGGCAGATGTTAATTACTTTGTTTATGGCATTTTTGGAAGTAGCTTTGATATGATAACAGTGTTGGCAATATGGAGACTGAAATCTTTCCTTTCATACCAGGTGACTTCTGCCTGATTTAACAGAAAAGTGTCTGGTAAAGTAGCCTCATTTCTTTCAGCCTCCCTGAGGACTTAAGTACCTATGTTGGAAGACTGGTGTGTCAAGTGAAAAAATTCTAAGTGCAGTACACAGGAAAAGTGTGTTACTTAATGATCAGGTTTGACCTCTGTATAATGAATTATGAAGGCCATGGGAAAACTGCTACATTTTGGAGTGGTTTTGACTTGCGAAGGGTTCTTTGCTGGGAATTGAGCACTATGCTAGCAAATAGTTTGTTGCCATGCTACTCTTAATGACTGCAATTAATAATGTACATACATACCGACTTGATTAGGTAAGAATAGTTCATAACTTCAAAAAATAGACTAGTGTAATGATTGGAAACATTGTTAAGATAAAATACCCTTAAGAACTCTCTTTCTTTTTGAGGATTCACTTTGGTATGAATGGTTCTATGCGCATTAATCCTGATGGAAGCAAAGACAGAAATGGAGCACCACCAGTTTTGGAGATACAGCTTACAGAGGACACTATTTGTTTTTTTGAGGTGACAGTAGAGCATAGGTAAAGCAGAAACTAACCAACTTAAACACAGCTTGGTTTATTTATTTTTATAACATTCTTTTAAGAGCATAGTGAAAAATCACACACAAATTGCTAAGTGCTTGGATGCCATCACAGACACAAATGAACTAAACGTATATTTATTGGTATGGTAATTTAATTTTATTACTTTTGTATCAGTTTACATACAGTTAAAGTAGTTCTATGTGACAGTTGCCGTAGACTCAGAATGAAAGTTGGATTTAATTCCGTCCTTAGGTCTGAATGCTGAATTCCATTGCTTCTCTGACTTCCATGCAAGTCTTACTTCCTTAACAAGAATAAGGACCTGCGATGATTACTGGTTTCAAATTTTTATGCTCCCAGGGTTGTGTTTTTATTTTTGCTTTCTTTTTGGAAGCAAGTTGGTATAATTGCTCTAACTGACATTAAGTTTTTGTCCATCAGTATTGTATTTTTCACTGATAATAAAAATAACATTGAAAGCTTGATTGAGACTCTTGGATGAAAAGGAGCATGTAAATTAAAGTAACATATCTATGCATATTTAATATTACAAAATGTAAGAGCTTGTGTAAGCCTGAGACTTCTTATATTGTAATATTTCCAAGTGATTATGCTTAATGTAATAAAATAAAAGTTTAAGAAAACGTATCTTTTATTGGCATGTTGTAACTACCGGACCATGTAATCATACAGATAGTTATGTTTGATGGTCCAAACACTTTGTCTTTCTATGTTGGAAGTAGTTTTAAAGCACGGACCTGGCAATTATTTTTCAAACTAATATGAACAACATAAGGATGATTTCTTGTCTGTTGGACCAGTTGCATGTTCCATGCATGTATCACTGACCTGTTTTTGGGAGGGGTGGTTAATGTAATTTCTGTGTCTCTTCCTGTCACTAGTATTTTCATGGTTTCTATTATCTGCATATAATGTTCTATTACACCTCCATGTGTTGTTTTTAAAATCATACTGCTATATAAGCATATAATTAAAATAAAAATAAATCTTAATGTATTTTTCTCATATGCAGTTGAGAGTGAGCAGAAAGTAAGAATGATGGAAAGCTTGGATGTCTGTTCTCCAAAGTTTAGCTTCTTAAGAGCAGAAAGTGAGCTCAAGCAGCAGAAAACCCGCACGTTGTGTGATGTGTTACTGGATCAAACAGTATTACCTGGAGTGGGAAATATCATTAAAAATGAAGCACTGTTTGACAGTGGTCTTCATCCAGCTGTTAAGGTGGGTGAAATGTCTCAAGATTGTTTTAATGACACTAAAGTATTAAGAATGTAAATACATATTTATATAACATTTTTAAATCTTCTTATCTTTGTTTTATAATTTGTTATTTCTAGTAATTCTAAGACATTGAATTAATGTTTATCATTATAACTATCATGGCATTCACTTAAATTTGAGAAGAAACTTCTTCTCAGTGAGGGTGACAGAGCACTGGACCAGGCTGCCCAGAGAGGTTGTGGAGTCTCCTTCTCTGGAGACATTCAAAACCCGCCTGGACGCCTTCCTGTGCAACCTCATCTAGGTGTTCCTGCTCCGGCAGGGGGATTGGACTAGATGATCTTTTGAGGTCCCTTCCAATCCCTAACGTTCTGTGATTCTGTGATTCTTTGGAACCTGTTGCTGGTACTCTGCCTCAGAGTGGAAAAATTCTGTGGGGCTAAGACTTCTCTCTCACAAATTGAAACCTCCTCTTAGCAGGGAATTAATTTAACTGCCAAATTCTAACTTTGTCTGGCTTCCTGTTGTGCTACCAATAATTTGTCAGCCTATAAATAAAGAAAATTGAAGAGTCTTCAGGATGTCTTTGTTCAGTTGCTACCCAAAATAGTTCATGTGGTAGAGTTGATTACTTTTGCAGCTGCTTCCACTTCCTGTCCTGCCAGCTGGCATAATTTGCTTTTCTACTACTGTTTACCATATGTGTTTTGGTTAAGATCCTCAAGCTTGCATCTCCAAACTTTGGTTGAATGGAAGTCTGATGTTTGCAAAGCAGACTGAGATTACATAGAATGTAAAGGAAAGCTGGTGAAAATAGTAACGGAAAGGTTTTTTAAACATTTCTGCAAGTTCTTCATAGGATCAGTCTGGATTTTAATTGTATCTGCAATGTGAGCTGGCAGAGGAAATAAAAATGTGACTTAAAAGTTTGAGTTCTTGACAAAAATGTGTTTGGTTGATACATGTTTCTAATTGTGATGCCTTTGGATCAAGATTTCTTCCTGAAGATCTCTCACAGGAAGGAGCCTCTGATGATAGGTAGTTGGTATCATAATCCACAAAGAAATTGAGAGAACTAAGAGCTGTTAAGTCCACATGATTCCTGTGATCAGGATCTCTTAGGTCAATATAGAAGAAAACAGCTGAAATTTTTACCTAATTTTTTATGTGGATGAGATGATGTACCTTGTTAGGTATCCACAGAATGAGTTTGTGTAGTATAGAGTGTGAAAATGTACTGTTTTACTGAGATAATATATGTAACGTGAAGTCAGACAATTATCTTAACAGGAAGCAATTCAATTCCACATCAGCTGAAGGTGTTCAAAGTGCCCCTGAGTTATAAATCTTTCTGCTGCTGTCCCTTAGCATTGTAATAATCTAAAAATGATTCTTATTTATAGGTCTGCCAACTGACAGATAAGCATATTCGTCACTTGGTGAAAAAGACACATGATTTTACCCTGCTTTTTTATAAGGTATCTGCATATATTTCTGAGAAACCTCCAACACTTGACTCTAGTGTGCTAGCTGTATGTGATCATCTGGTGAAAACAGTAAGAAGAGGCAACAGTACAAGTGTGTCCATGAATAGGAATGTTGGTTTGTGTGTTCTTTATTAATTGTGAATTGTCAAATGATGGAAGGGTGGGGAGTCTTAAGTGTAAGAATACACAGCCTTGGCCCAGTTGCACCAGAAGAGTTTGACAGATGCTGCCTGAGGGCCAGTACAGTTTTGCTGCACATGCTCTGTAACGTAACTCTGAACATGTCAGAATCAATGTAGGTTAGGCACCCTCATGTGTAAGGTAACATAAGGGTCATTCTTCAAACTGGGATCTAGAGATTGTCCCAGGGAAGTATGAAGGCTTCCTTCATGTGGCTTTCTTTATGAGATTTGAAATAGCAAGTATATTTATTTGTCTAAATAGATGGGTAACGTCTAACAACTTTTTTTTTCTAACTGAAACAACTTTTTTGGTTGCTAAAGTGAAACAAATTAAAAAATCTCCCTACTGCCACACCTTCACTAGGATTTCATTTCTTTCCCTGTAAACTCTAATTCCTGGTTGCTCTTTAACTTTCCAAAGTAGAAAAAGAGAGACTTTGACCTAATTCTTGTATGTTTTTCTTCTTTAAGCTGCATGCAGAGAAATGAACAGCAGCAGTGAAATTCTTTTCTCTTGGTATTCATGAAAGGCCAAGAGCTAGTGCTGCTTAAAATTATTTTTTTGGTAGGCCAGTAGGAAGGCATCTGACTTTTCTAATACCATATTTCAATCATAAAGGCTAAAAATGTAATATAGTAATAGTCTGCTTAAATGTCTGCTTTCCCCAACCCACTGAAGAGTAGTTTAATCTGTTGGCTAGGGAAATCTCTTCATTCTCCAAACTTCATAGTGAAGTCTACCAGTAAAGAGATAGCATCTAGTTCTGCAACAACTATAATACTAGGGGATATTTAAATGTGCATGGGCTTTTAGACTGACAATAATCAAACAAGTTAAACTTTCTGTAGCTCAGTTTGGTCATTTTCAAAACTTTTATAATCTGCACTTAGCAAGTATTCACCAGTCAAGTGCTTTTAAAGGAGAGCTAGCCACCTGCCCCAAGTTTTACTAAGATAAAAACATAATGAAAATAGATTATTAATAAAAGAGGTAGTGCTTGATCAATTTTTTTATAGATTGTTATAGAATGTTAGTAGTAATTATACTATATCATTGTAGTAACATCTTACAGATGCAAAGATGAGGAATCTTGTAAAAAGTTGACGCTTTCATTTGTTTTTTTTTTTCTAAATAACTAGATAGGATTAAACTACTAATAAACTATCTGTAAACATTGAGAAGAAATCTTGAGGAGAAAGCAAACTGCTGGTGAATATTCATGCAAATGTATATTAGCAATTCCTTCTGATTGAATTACTGGATTGTACTGGCAAAAGCGTTCTCATTCAGCAAGGCTGATGAATAAGAGCACAGCAGAAGCAAATATGCTGTGCTCAGACACCTGTATTTTGGGAAAACTCCAAGGGTCTTCATGCATGATGGAGCCAGAGCTGGGCTGGTATTGCTGGGCCAGCTGTGGTATCATTTGAACTGTGCCCAATGAACTGCACTTGTAGTGCAGAAAATCGTGTGGCTCTGCAGAGTTGGCTGCATGTCTACTGGGTTTTTCTTGTTTCTTTGGTTTGGGTTTTGTTGTTGTTGTGGGTTTGTTTTTGTTTTGTTTTTCTGCTTTTTTTAGCTGGGGTATGTCTATGCTGACTCCATGTGAATTGTCTCATGAAATGTACCTGTTTGTCAGCCCTCAGGAGGCTCTTTAGGTCACTGTGCCTTTTGGGCTTGTACTGTACTTAATTTAACATAAGTTTCTGGCAGGATCTGGGGAGCTCACCATAGTGCCAAGTGGCTTTTCATGAGCCAGCTTGTCTGGCATGGCTAGTGCAAAGATGAAGCTGAGCAAATTTACTGGGTGCTACCCAAATCCTAGAGAATCTCTGGAATATTTCTGTGTTGTGCTGTTCTTTAGGTTTTTGGGAATGATGATTAACCCAGATTGTAGCTGGCTCTGCAGTGTGTTATTTGGCTCTTTTTTGAGGTGAGAGAGGGTATCGGATTTTTTTGTTGTGTTTTATATTTGTTTCATTTTTGTTTTCTATGCTTTGTTGTTTGGAGCTCATGAGCTCTTTAAGAATGCTCCTGCAGGTGCCAGGTCAAAGATGACTGGTACTGAATTAGAGCTAGCTGGTCCAGCTGAACTCAAGGGGCCCATAGCATATATTTGCTTGCAACATCCTAGTATTTTTTTGTTGTGTCTTTTATTTCATTATGTGGAGAATTCCAGACACTATTATACCTGATTTAAAGTCAATTATTTTCATAAAAGAATATGAAATACAGATGATAACCCTTATGAGTGTGCCTTAAATATCTTTATGTAGTCATTGAGTTGTTAGTTTACATAGGGATTTTTTATTTTAGCTTCAGTTGAACTGTAGAGGGACTGACATAAAACTTATATTGGGTCTCTAACTTGGGTTTTAAACATGTTCTGTTTTAGTGCTGCAAGACTGGGTCTCCACTCTACAAACGTTACAAGGTATACAAGCGACCAACCTGTGGTCAGTGCAATGGGAAGATCACTGTGTGTCGTTTAGGAGAGAATAACAGGATGACTTACTTCTGCTCTCGATGTCAAAAGGATCCCCAGATTGTCGATGTTAGGTATGATGGTAACTTTATAACACTTTTAAGCATTGCTGTGCTCAAAGTGCTGTTACAGTAAGAGCACATCACTTCTCAAGTAAAATGGATCCATGCACATTTTATATCTAAAGTCTCTTGACTTGGCAAAGGAAAAATGTTTTGGCTACTGGTATTTAAAAAAGGTTAAAAACTTTGGTACTCTTTCTTTCAAAGGCCTCGTCTGTTATGAAATAGCTATTACTCTAATCAAATGTAGGAGTTAGAAAACAGGTCAGAGTACTCACAATTATTCAGTGCTTCTGGATGAATTCCCCTTGTTCTTGGTGTTCTCAACATATTAGTCTTGAATGTTTACACACAATTGAATTGAATGGCAAAAGGAAGGTAGCAATTTGTGTGTCTGTTTCTTTTCATAGGATAGCTCCTTCAGTCCTGGAATATCTAAATAGCTGTGTATCTGCAATTTTTTTCTGTCTGTAGTGTTACATTGAGGAAAACTACAGCTTCTGTAAATTCAAAGTGCAGCAAATATTATAGGGCTTAGGATGTTTTCTTCCTCCTTATCAGATTTGGAAAGCTTTTACTACAGGTGTGCCACAGAGACATTTCAGTTCCACAGAAATTGTGCTAGCAGCATCTTTCTTTTATTTCAGAAAGGCACAAAATGCATTTGATATCACAAAGGGTCAAAAGGTAAAAGTTCCAAAAGCACCTTATTTAGACTCTTACATACTGAAGTTATTCTTGAAAATTTTCATCTGAGGTCTCAGAATCTTGTCTTTTTATACTGAGATCTGACAATCTAATAAAAGATACTGCTTTGCTTTGCAAACTTTGTCTTTATCTGTGTGAAATAAAAAGTTCATTTCTTGTGCTGTCCTCATCCTAATGGTCAGGTCTTTGTGTTCTAGTGCTTTGTTTTCTATTGCGCAGTAACTGTTGCCAAATAAGTAGGTTTATCTCAAGTGCGTTATCTGCCATTCCAAGCTGTTCAGGTTTGAAGACTGAAAGAAGCCCATGTGACCAGACTGACTTGCTACAAATCATAAACTGTAGAATTTAACCCAGTGGTTCTTGGGTCAAGTCAAGTAGCTTATGATTTTGCTTAGCTGAAAACAAGAAGAAGAAAATATCCATTATAAGCTACCTCATCAAATTCAAATGTACTTTGAACCTTTAAAATACACTTTTCCTCCATATTTCATCTTCCAAAATAAGAGGGGAATGACATGACAGATGGACCAGGGAGACAACATAGAATTAAACTCCAAAGCATGACATGCTGAATATATTCAATCTAGTAATGCATCTTTGATAGCTAAGTAGAACAACCGATCTAATAATGCCAAGATACCCATTTTTAACACTTCTAGTTTGGCTGTTTTGTTATCTAGCCACAGTATTTTGGCGAATGCTACTGTAATGTCTGTTCTACATCTTGACAGCATAGGATCTCTGGTATGTCAGCAGTTCTCATTATCCTCCTTAGTTTTCCTGTTGTGGAAGAGGTGTAGGTAGTAGATATCCCTACTGTTGTCTTACAAATCTAGCCTGTTAAGGAGAGTGATTATTACAGAATAAGTGATAGGTCTAAGGAGTGTCACAACCGTTCCCAAGTACATTTGCATTATTAATTGAAGTGCTTAAATACTTAATAGTAAAAAAAATCCCCAAAAAGTGCATAATTCCACAAAAACGATGGAGAAAAACGATTGGCAACTTATTAATCATAGTACTTAAAAATTTACTTATCTTACTGAACAGGTAAGTTCAAGTTACATTTGACATGCTAACAGTGTTTGGATACTATGACAAAATTAGTCTTTGGTAACATGTAATGACTGTAAAATAGTAACTGATTCTAAATCAGTGCATCAAGATAGGAGGTATTATAATTTACAAGAAAAAAAATAAAATCTATAGAGGTGTCTGAAGGTAAAAAGAAAAAAAAAAAGCCTTTATTTTGAACAGGCTTCAAAACATTACAAGGCTTTCCAGCAAATGGTAACACACAAGAAAGACTTTGTAACTTTTAAGACTAACTTCTAACTTTCTAACTTTTTTCAGTTCTGCTAGGTGTTAAGACAACAAAGTGTTCTAATTGGTACCATTTAAATGAGAGCAAAAACATTTGTTTCCTAGACTCTGACTTTCTGTAGTTCAGCTTCTGCACAGTTCTTCATCCAGTAATGCGTTTGTTAGTAAGCGTTTCTGTACAAGGGATAGGGGGAAAGTACTGAAACAGTCTCTTGCCTCGTTTCTTGCTGCAGTACTTGAAACTGGTAGGGAATTTGAGAGAGGCTGGGGCACTGTGCTGGAGAGTACCTCAGTTAATGATTAACTTTCTGATAATTTTTCGTTAAATATTTTTATTTATATTACTTCTGCAGCATCAGGAAAGATTTTTCCCTTAAGGTTAAGAAAAAACTAAAATCAAACTCTGTGACATGCTGTCAAAGCTATGATAGGCAGGCGTAATGCTGTGTACTACTTGTTCTCTAGCCCTGTGTCTCCCTGCACATAGTGGTGTAAGGCAATTTGTAGAAGGAACGTCACAAAAGACTAACATCATTCTTTTTGTTTCACAGCAAACTGCCAACTAGAAATAGCCTAATTGGCTGGGCATACGGCAGGAGGTCATGTTCTAATGAACACGTAGCTCAGAAATCTGAAGAGCAGTGGACTTGTATGCGCTGTACCCTAATAAACAACCCTTCTGCTGAAATTTGTGATGCCTGTTTGACTTCAAGGCCTGAAGGTATTGAAAGGTTGTCAAGAACATATGCTGGGAAAGGGGGGGAAGGACTGTAGTTTTGATGCAGTTCTTGGAACTATAGAACTGTAGAAGTATCTTATTGTGAATTGTACTTATGTAACTTTAGCTAACTTAAAGTCAGATTTTAGGGAGACCTTACATGGACAATAATGGAAGCTGTCTTGTCTTCCAGCTTTGTGTGCAAGTGGGATTCTATAGGCAAGTCTCTCCCATGCCCCTTTGTTTTTATTGGGGCAAAGAGTGAGACAAAACATCATTATTTCAACTCTCCTTAAAATCGTTAGAATCTTGCATCATATGTCTGATAAAGAAATCACCAGGGGTCAGAAAAGTAATTATCAATTTTTCACATAAACAAAAGCAGTACATTTTGGTACTGTTTCCAAAAGGATGTCCAGTTTCTCAGGGCTAGGTTTTCTCCTCCAAGTTCAGGGTAAGGATAATTCTGGATGTCTTACCTAAATTTCTTGTTTGTCACTTGCTGGAGCTTTTAATGCTGCTACCTATATCTGGTGGGCAGAAGGAACTGTGAATAGGACCTAGGAAGGGACCAGAAGATGGAATGAGTAACATGCTAGCTTCTCTCCAGATTTCTGTATAGAAATTTAGATATTAAGAAAGGATGAGTGAGGTAATGGACAGACTTCTCGCTGAGACCTGTTTTCTATGTTAAGAGAAGCTCTGTATTCTTTTTCACTTTCTATAGAAAAAGTAAGTAAATTACTCTGGATGGATTTACAGAAAGCTATTTGGATCAAGACTGTTGCAATTCAACATGTTTCAAAGCTACATATATTCCAAGAAACAAAGTTTAGAGGTGTGCATGTGTGTGGCTTTTTAGTGATAAAGCTAATTTTGTAACAATTCCATATTGAAACTTTTCTACCTCAAAAACTAACGTACCACTTATTTCACATTGTGTAGTGAATTAATCAGTGAAGGGGATGAAATCTGCATACTAAACTTATTTCTTTATTTTTCTAGCAAAACTGAAAGATATCTCTAAACAATATACAGGCTTTTTGTATCTGAGAAGGATCAATGCTTTTACATAGGCTCTAGGACCTATTGTTAAAAGCTCACTGAATTTAACCATATGACTCAAAGTACATATGCAAAAATCTGAATTTGAGATCACATTCCCATAGCTTTTCAATGGTACTTTAAGCCGTACTTTCCACAGTACCCCCAAATTCCCAGCCGGTGAAGAAGTGACTTTATGGTACTGATCATGGTTCTTAAAATAAGTTCCAGTGTTTTGTG